TAAATGTCCACACTTAAGAAAACATGCATATAAACTTGAAAAAAAGCCTGTTCTTAACTTGCTTCTTATTTGGCTATAATAGCTGAAACAGTGAATTATTTCTATTTATTTTCTTTGTTACTGTAAATTTAGAAATTGTTAATATTTGTTTAAAATGAATAATTTAGTACTTTCTTTAAAAATCACAATTATAAATTGATGTAATAATTTCTGAATTTACAGTATCTCAATGATTTAAATTCATAATCAAAGTTTGTATAGTTTGACATGTGAATGTTATGTTAAAAAAAAGTGGGAAAGCAGAATATGTATTATATTCAATTTATTATATTTCAGTGTGAGGACCTACGTGGACAACCAGATGAACAGGCGTCTCCGACGAGTTGGTATGCCATACGGCTATGTGGCTCCACGAGTAGAGGCACCACGATGCTCTCGTCGTCTTTTAGGGTTGGAGCCTGAACCAGTACTTGTCCCAGTTGCCTCTCCTGAGCTGCCAAGAAATGATCAACCTGAACATTTCGAAGCAGTCGTACCTCGTGCACGATTATTCTCTGTCATGGTTCCTGAAGCAGCTATTCAAATTGCTGCTGAGGTTATCATTGACGAGGATGATATGGTTGAGGTGGAGTTAGCTGGCGAGGAGCTCTTGGTTCTGGAGTCAACTCTGGAGGAGGAAGAGGTCATTGAGCTGTCTGTGGAGGCCTCTGTGCTGTGTGGTATGGACACAATGTTGGAGGACCCAGCCGACTGGTTCCTGGAGGAGACTGTGTCTTTCCTGCCAACAGAGGAGGAGACTGTTGTGTTTGAGGAGGTAGTGGATGAGGATGCAACAACCAACCACGCTGAAGAGACTGTCTGGTATGGTCCTGAAGAGGTTGAGGTTCCAGCCACTCCAGTCACACCGTATGTTGTTATAGGTAATGATGTAGGTGTTCCTTTGGACTGGGAGGTGATCCCTGCTCCAGTGGTTGAGGTTGCTCCTGTCCCTGAGGCAGCTGGGTGGTTTGCTGGGTGGAGACAGGTGGCTAGAGTGCTAGGCTGCCTTGTTACTTCATACCAAACTGTCTCAGCTGTCTAATTTTTTGGTTAATTTTTGATAAATACATATACATTTTGTATATTTTCTTTAAAAAAAAAATTGGAAAAGTATAAATTTTTGTTTTAGTTTAAAAAAAAATGTTTGGAAAAGTATAAATTTTTGTTTTAGTTTAAAAAAAAATGTTTGGAAAAGCTATTTTTTGAAACTTGAAATTTTTGTTTTGATTTATGGTCATTCAGTTTATTTTTGAAAGATTTTCATTCTTTGCTAACTAACACAATTTCTTCAAAACTTCAAAATGAGTGTTTTAATAATTTTGGCTATTTAATCATTAAAGTTTTATGAAAATATTTTGTTTTAATTTAAATGAAAGTTGTTAATGTTTATTTTACTTAACTTGGAAATTTATAAAGAGTGTGTCTGTCTTTTTGTAACCACTGTTCTTTTTATCCAACACACGTTAAACTTTCAGGCTGGACAACTGTCAAAATGGATCACCATAATTATCAGTCAGGTCAAGGTCAATCAGTATAGATATCCAATCATTTCAGGTCAACATTTTCTTTTAAAGTTTGGTCATAGGTTAGAGGTTAAAAGTTCAGGTCAACATTGACAAGAATAGAATGTTCATTACTCCTTTAAAGGGTAGAGGTCTACTAGATTTAAGATCAAACTATTTGTAAGAATGGTTATTTGTAAGGTCAAAGACATGCAGTGTCAGGTCAAGGTCAATGTTTACTTCTACAGAATGATTATATCTGTTAGCAGGATCACATATATGATTAATTGCTTAAAAGCAACAAGCACATGTAAGAAGCATATTCCTGCTAAACAGCTTTAAATATATGTGTACCTATTTTCACAAAAATAGCTCCCTTCCCCAAGGGTTGACTGGGGTATAAAAATATGGTCATCCCTTGGTCTTCTTCTGACCGGCAGTAAAACGCTTGCCAAAGATTAGCCACCGTTTAGTTAATACATAGCCACATCCTGTTGAAATTTAAAATTTAAAAGTTGCATGATTAATACCAGAGTAACTTTTAGCCTGAAGTGTGACAGACGAACGAACAGACAAACAAAAGAACGGACCAACAAACAGACGACCGGGTTAGACCAGAAAACATAATGTCCATGTATGGGGTATAAAAATCCAGCATAACAGTGCAACATTCCATTTAGCTTTTGAAATTTTGATGAAAAATACAAAATGTTTCCTTTGACTCATTTAAAACATTAAATTGTCACCACCCTTTAGAAAGAAAATGAACATTAAAGTCCCCTACATAAATTTCATAGTTTAAATAAAGGAATTTTTTCAGCAATTTTCACTTCTGGATGAAAGGATAAAATTACCACTTCTGTTTTATAATTCATTGAGAGCATTTATAAAAAGTAGCAGATCAGAAGTAAAACAAAAAAAGAAAATATCACTAATTTCCTATTAAACATCCCAAAAATTTCGCATTTGTTCATTTTAACCTTGACCACTCTTTTAAAATTTAAAAAAATATTAAAAAAGGTTTCTGTATCTTAATTTGGCAGCTTCTGATAAATTAAAGAATACATTTGGTATACATCAATGAGGGATACTTAACAAACAACAAAAACAAGGCGTCTTTAGGTCAACATAGTCTTCAACAAAGATAGGCATCTATACAATATGTTTAGTGTTTATAGTTCAAAATTAGTCGACAAAATTTACTAAATATCTTTAAAGAAAAAAGTCGACAAAATTTACTAAATATCTTTAAAGAAAAAAGTCGACAAAATTTACTAAATATCTATAAAGAAAAAAGTCGACAAAATTTACTAAATATCTTTAAAGAAAAAATTCGACAAAATTTACTAAATATCTTTAAAGAAAAAAGTCGACAAAATTTACTAAATATCTATAAAGAAAAAAGTCGACAAAATTTACTAAATATCTATAAAGAAAAAAGTCGACAAAATTTACTAAATATCTATAAAGAAAAAAGTCGACAAAATTTACTAAATATCTTTAAAAAAAAAAGTCGACAAAATTTACTAAATATCTATAAAGAAAAAAGTCGACAAAATTTACTAAATATCTATAAAGAAAAAAGTCGACAAAATTTACTAAATATCTATAAAGAAAAAAGTCGACAAAATTTACTAAATATCTATAAAGAAAAAAGACGACAAAATTTACTAAATATCTTTAAAGAAAAAAGTCGACAAAATTTACTAAATATCTATAAAGAAAAAAGTCCACAAAATTTACTAAATATCTATAAAGAAAAAAGATGACAAAATTTACTAAATATCTTTAAAGAAAAAAGTCCACAAGATTTACTAAATATCTATAAAGAAAAAAGTCGACAAAATTTGCTAAATATCTATAAAGAAAAAAGACGACAAAATTTACTAAATATCTTAAAAGAAAAAAGTCCACAAAATTTACTAAATATCTATAAAGAAAAAAGTCCACAAAATTTACTAAATATCTATAAAGAAAAAGTCAACTAAATTTACTAAATATCTATAAAGAAAAAAGTCGACTAAATTAACAAAATATCTATAAAGAAAAGAGTAGACAAAATTAACTAAATATCTATAAAAAATAATAATAAAGCAAAATAATTAAAAATTCTTTTTTCTTGCAATTAAATAAGTTTATAAAGTGTTTAATTCAGCAAAAGATTTGGGCTTTCAACAACTTGATGTGAATGATATTGCATTATTATAGTGTCTGAGTACAACATTATTACATAACTTGCTGGGTTAAAATTTCTTTTTTTACAAAAATATAAAGTATATCCAAAGTTAACACTGGCAAGTCAAGTATAACAATGTATCTAACACTGCACAATCTGCATAAACCTGCATACCTGCATAGGATAATTAGCATTGCATATATAAATTAACATGTAAAGCTTATGCTGGCTTGCTGATGTTTTCTTTCATTGTTCTATTTAATTAACCCCTAGCCCAATATAGCAACATCTATTTAAAATTGACCTGGGACTTGGATTTTGGGCAGGTAGGGAGGAATAAGGAAAATACCTTGGCCTGGGATTTTAGGGCTTAAAGAAAGGGGAGGGGAAACCCAGGGACTCTGGTGAAGTGGGGAGATAAAAGGAGAAGGGAAACCCATGGCCTGGTGTATTTGGGGAGATAAAAGAGGGAGAAGGTTACATCCACGGCCTGGTGAACTGGGGGAGATAAAAGAGGGAATGGGGAAAGAGTTGCTGTCCATTGAATGAAGTAAGTTATGTGTTAATGTTGTATTCACATTGTTGTGATGATTTTATTGTTGCTTTGAAGTTTGTGGAGCACAAATACCCCAGTACTTTTGGATAAAAATGATAATGAAAAAATATTCCCGTTTAAACTTTCAGTTTTTAATAAAAGATATTCCAGTGTTCAAATTAACCATTAAAGTGGTCTTTCTTAAAGTTGTCAAACAAGAACCAAAGTGTACCTTTTAAACTTTAAAATATCAATTGAACATTTAATTAGAAACCTTTGGTTTAAACATTTATGCGTGTTTCTGAATTCCTTTCATTAAAATTGAGTAAATAAAATAACACTCTATTTAAACAATTTTGTGTTGTAAAAAAACCACAAAAACATACAATTAAGTACTTGACCTATAGTATAGAAACTTGTTTTTGTTGGAGACTATATTGACCTCTGGGGTCCAGGTTTTTTGTGTTGTTTAGTTGCTGTCTCAATAACATAATCCCTAAAGTCATTTTCAATTAATCATAGACAAAGGACAAATTATAAAAAACCCAGAATAACCAAATCCTTCATATTAACTTATAATAACTGTTAAATTTTCCTTCAAATTATATGTTTCACACATCTCCTTCGTTTAGATAAATTTTAAAGTGAAACAGAGAATGCAGGAAGCCAAATATTTAAAATTTAGATTAATTGAAATAGCCTCCCCTCTAAAAAAAAATAGAACAAATTTTAATAGAAAAAAGGGGGACGGAAACCTAAAGATACAGAATTAAAATAATGTGATAAAAAGATCCTCCGTCCTTTTCTAAACTTCTTTTTAAAGTTTTAAATTTGGTAAATTAGATGTTCCCTGAATTTAGAGTATCCATGGGAACATGTCCCATTTTTACCAGAAATTAATATACCCATAGGAACATTACGGTACATGTTCCTCTCCAAAGTAATAAAGGTATCCATTGGAACATCACATGTTCCTCTCCAAAGTAATGAAGGTATCCATAGGAACATCACATGTTCCTCTCCAAAGTAATGAAGGTATCCATTGGAACATCACGTTCCCCTACAAAGTAATAAAGGTATCCATAGGAACATCACATGTTCCCGTCCAAAGTAATTAAGGTATCCATAGGAACATCACATGTTCCCGTCCAAAGTAATAAAGGTATCCATTGGAACATCACATGTTCCTGTCCAAAGTAATGAAGGTATCTATAGGAACATCACATGTTCCGCTCAAAAGTAATGAAGGTATCCATAGGAACATCACATGTTCCTCTCCAAAGTAATAAAGGTATCCATAGGAACATTACATGTTCCTCTCCAAAGTAATGAAGGTATCCATTGGAACATCACATGTTTCTCTCCAAAGTAATGAAGGTATCCATAGGAACATCACATGTTCCTCTCCAAAGTAATGAAGGTATCCATAGGAACATCACATGTTCCTCTCCAAAGTAATGAAGGTATCCATAGGAACATCACATGTTCCTCTCCAAGGTAATGAAGGTATCCATAGGAACATCACATGTTCCTCTCCAAAGTAATAAAGGTATCCATAGGAACATCACATGTTCCTCTCCAAAGTAATGAAGGTATCCATAGGAACATCACATGTTCCTCTCCAAAGTAATGAAGGTATCCATAGGAACATCACATGTTCCTCTCCAAAGAAATAAAGGTATCCATAGGAACATCACATGTTCCTCTCCAAAGTAATGAAGGTATCCACAGTAACATCCCATGTGTCTTACCAATGTAAATAAGGTATCCATAGGAACATGGGAGCCTCGGTGGCCAAGTGGTCTAAGTAGTTATAACTGTAATCACTAGCCAGTCAACACTGAGGTTGTGAATTCAAACCCCACTCGTGCGGGTGCACATGACTCCAATCTTAATTGACTTAGGGTTGTCAGTTTTCCTATTGAAGGTCAGTGGTTTTCTCCAGGCACTCTGGCTTCCTCCACCAATACAAACTGGCCGCCATGAAATAGCCAAAGTAGTGCTTAAAAGTGGCGTTAAAACACCAAAAAATCAAATTCAAATCCATAGGTGCACTGCATGCTCCAAATTTACTGGTATCTGATATCCATTGGAATCCAAATTTAGTTGTTTAGTTTGTATTGATGACAGAATTGGCTTTACAATGAACTTTGAACTCAAAGAAATGGATACACATGTTTCAGAAAAATAAGTTTGGTACCTATATCTCTTTTCACACTTTTGTTGTTTTTAAATAATTTGTAAATTTTATTGTAAATGTAACATATTTAAGTTGTCAAATTTTTGTGTAAAAAGGGGAATGACCATTTCAAAACTGTTTTTCAATATTTTTGTTAAAGATTTTCAGAAGGAAACAGAAAAATTATTTTATAAAAATGTGGATAGTGTCAAATGTGTATATAGTTTTAAGAAAAATAGAAAAAAAAAAAAAAATGCATGGGTGATGGGTTTTTAATGATTTTAAGAAAAATAGAAAAAAAAAAAAAGAAAAAATATGCATGGGTGATGGTTTTTAATGATTTTAAGAAAAATAGTAAAAAAAAAACAAAGAAAAAAAAAAATATGCATGGGTGATGGTTTTTAATGATTTTAAGAAAAATAGAAAAAAAAAAAAAAAAAAAAATATGCATGGGTGATGGTTTTTAATGATTTTAAGAAAAATAGAAAAAAAAAAAAAAAAAAATATGCATGGGTGATGGTTTTTAATGATTTTAAGAAAAATAGTAAAAAGAAAAAAAAAAATATATGCATGGGTGATGGTTTTTAATGATTTTAAGAAAAATAGAAAAAAAAAAAAAAAAAAATTTGCATGGGTGATGGTTTTTAATGATTTTAAGAAAAATAGAAAAAAAAAAGAAAAAAAATGCTTGGGGTTTAATTATATCGTGATGCAGAAATGGGTCCATTATTTTATCTTGAATTTGGGATTTAATTATATCATGATATGGAATGGATACATTCTTTTAACTTGAATTTGGGATTTAATTATATCATGATACGGAATGGATACATTCTTTTAACTGGAATTTGGGGGATTTAATAATATCATGATACAGAATGGATACATTCTTTTAACTTGAATTTGGGATTTAATTATATCATGATACAGAATGGATACATTCTTTTAATTTGAATTTGGGGGATTTAATCATATCATGAAACAGAATGGATACATTCTTTTTACTTGAATTTGGGATTTAATTATATCATGATACGGAATAAATACATTCTTTTAACTGGAATTTGGGATTTAATTATATCATGATATGGAATGGATACATTCTTTTAACTGGAATTTGGGATTTAATCATATCATGAAACAGAATGGATACATTCTTTTTACTTGAATTTGGAATTTAATTATATCATGATACGGAATGGATACATTCTTTTAACTGGAATTTGGGATTTAATTATATCATGATACGGAATGGATACATTCTTTTAACTGGAATTTGGGATTTAATCATATCATGAAACAGAATGGATACATTCTTTTAATTGGAATTTGGGATTTAATCATATCATGAAACAGAATGGATACATTCTTTTAACTGGAATTTGGGGGATTTAATTATATCATGATAGGGAATGGATACATTCTTTTAACTGGAATTTGGGATTTAATTATATCATGATACGGAATGGATACATTCTTTTAAAAATAGAAAAAAAAAATATGCATGGGTGATGGTTTTTAATGATTTTAAGAAAAATAGAAAAAAAAAAGAAAAAAAATGCTTGGGGTTTAATTATATCGTGATGCAGAAATGGGTCCATAATTTATCTTGAATTTGGGATTTAATTATATCATGATATGGAATGGATAGTTGGATACATTCTTTTAACTTGAATTTGGGATTTAATTATATCATGATACGGAATGGATACATTCTTTTAACTGGAATTTGGGGGATTTAATAATATCATGATACGGAATGGATACATTCTTTTAATTTGAATTTGGGGGATTTAATCATATCATGAAACAGAATGGATACATTCTTTTTACTTGAATTTGGGATTTAATTATATCATGATACGGAATGGATACATTCTTTTAACTGGAATTTGGGATTTAATTATATCATGATACGGAATGGATACATTCTTTTAATTTGAATTTGGGGGATTTAATCATATCATGAAACAGAATGGATACATTCTTTTTACTTGAATTTGGGATTTAATTATATCATGATACGGAATGGATACATTCTTTTAACTGGAATTTGGGATTTAATTATATCATGATACGGAATGGATACATTCTTTTAACTGGAATTTGGGATTTAATCATATCATGAAACAGAATGGATACATTCTTTTTACTTGAATTTGGGATTTAATTATATCATGATACGGAATGGATACATTCTTTTAACTGGAATTTGGGGGGTTTAATAATATCATGATACAGAATGGATACATTCTTTTAACTTGAATTTGGGATTTGATTATATCATGATACGGAATGGATACATTCTTTTAATTTGAATTTGGGGGATTTAATCATATCATGAAACAGAATGGATACATTCTTTTTACTTGAATTTGGGATTTAATTATATCATGATACGGAATGGATACATTCTTTTAACTGGTATTTGGGATTTAATTATATCATGATACGGAATGGATACATTCTTATAACTGGAATTTGGGATTTAATTATATCATGATACGGAATGGATACATTCTTTTAATTTGAATTTGGGGGATTTAATCATATCATGAAACAGAATGGATACATTCTTTTTACTTGAATTTGGGATTTAATTATATCATGATACGGAATGGATACATTCTTTTAACTGGAATTTGGGATTTAATTATATCATGATACGGAATGGATACATTCTTTTAATTTGAATTTGGGGGATTTAATCATATCATGAAACAGAATGGATACATTCTTTTTACTTGAATTTGGGATTTAATTATATCATGATACGGAATGGATACATTCTTTTAACTGGAATTTGGGATTTAATTATATCATGATACGGAATGGATACATTCTTTTAACTGGAATTTGGGATTTAATCATATCATGAAACAGAATGGATACATTCTTTTTACTTGAATTTGGGATTTAATTATATCATGATACGGAATGGATACATTCTTTTAACTGGAATTTGGGGGGTTTAATAATATCATGATACAGAATGGATACATTCTTTTAACTTGAATTTGGGATTTGATTATATCATGATACGGAATGGATACATTCTTTTAATTTGAATTTGGGGGATTTAATCATATCATGAAACAGAATGGATACATTCTTTTTACTTGAATTTGGGATTTAATTATATCATGATACGGAATGGATACATTCTTTTAACTGGTATTTGGGATTTAATTATATCATGATACGGAATGGATACATTCTTATAACTGGAATTTGGGATTTAATCATATCATGAAACAGAATGGATACATTCTTTTAACTGGAATTTGGGATTTAATCATATCATGAAACAGAATGGATACATTCTTTTAACTGGAATTTGGGGGATTTAATTATATCATAATAAGGAATGGATACATTCTTTTAACTGGAATTTGGGATTTAATTATATCATGATACGGAATGGATACATTCTTTTAAAAATAGAAAAAAAAAAAAAAAAAAAAAATATGCATGGGTGATGGTTTTTAATGATTTTAAGAAAAATAGAAAAAAAAAAGAAAAAAAATGCTTGGGGTTTAATTATATCGTGAGTCAGAAATGGGTCCATTCTTTTATCTTGAATTTGGGATTTAATTATATCATGATATGGAATGGATACATTCTTTTAACTGGAATTTGGGGGATTTAATAATATCATGATACAGAATGGATACATTCTTTTAACTTGAATTTGGGATTTAATTATATCATGATACAGAATGGATACATTCTTTTAATTTGAATTTGGGGGATTTAATCATATCATGAAACAGAATGGATACATTCTTTTTACTTGAATTTGGGATTTAATTATATCATGATACGGAATAAATACATTCTTTTAACTGGAATTTGGGATTTAATTATATCATGATATGGAATGGATACATTCTTTTAACTGGAATTTGGGATTTAATCATATCATGAAACAGAATGGATACATTCTTTTTACTTGAATTTGGAATTTAATTATATCATGATACGGAATGGATACATTCTTTTAACTGGAATTTGGGATTTAATTATATCATGATACGGAATGGATACATTCTTTTAACTGGAATTTGGGATTTAATCATATCATGAAACAGAATGGATACATTCTTTTAATTGGAATTTGGGATTTAATCATATCATGAAACAGAATGGATACATTCTTTTAACTGGAATTTGGGGGATTTAATTATATCATGATAGGGAATGGATACATTCTTTTAACTGGAATTTGGGATTTAATTATATCATGATACGGAATGGATACATTCTTTTAAAAATAGAAAAAAAAAATATGCATGGGTGATGGTTTTTAATGATTTTAAGAAAAATAGAAAAAAAAAAGAAAAAAAATGCTTGGGGTTTAATTATATCGTGATGCAGAAATGGGTCCATAATTTATCTTGAATTTGGGATTTAATTATATCATGATATGGAATGGATAGTTGGATACATTCTTTTAACTTGAATTTGGGATTTAATTATATCATGATACGGAATGGATACATTCTTTTAACTGGAATTTGGGGGATTTAATAATATCATGATACGGAATGGATACATTCTTTTAATTTGAATTTGGGGGATTTAATCATATCATGAAACAGAATGGATACATTCTTTTTACTTGAATTTGGGATTTAATTATATCATGATACGGAATGGATACATTCTTTTAACTGGAATTTGGGATTTAATTATATCATGATACGGAATGGATACATTCTTTTAATTTGAATTTGGGGGATTTAATCATATCATGAAACAGAATGGATACATTCTTTTTACTTGAATTTGGGATTTAATTATATCATGATACGGAATGGATACATTCTTTTAACTGGAATTTGGGATTTAATTATATCATGATACGGAATGGATACATTCTTTTAACTGGAATTTGGGATTTAATCATATCATGAAACAGAATGGATACATTCTTTTTACTTGAATTTGGGATTTAATTATATCATGATACGGAATGGATACATTCTTTTAACTGGAATTTGGGGGGTTTAATAATATCATGATACAGAATGGATACATTCTTTTAACTTGAATTTGGGATTTGATTATATCATGATACGGAATGGATACATTCTTTTAATTTGAATTTGGGGGATTTAATCATATCATGAAACAGAATGGATACATTCTTTTTACTTGAATTTGGGATTTAATTATATCATGATACGGAATGGATACATTCTTTTAACTGGTATTTGGGATTTAATTATATCATGATACGGAATGGATACATTCTTATAACTGGAATTTGGGATTTAATCATATCATGAAACAGAATGGATACATTCTTTTAACTGGAATTTGGGATTTAATCATATCATGAAACAGAATGGATACATTCTTTTAACTGGAA